TGGTGAAAGTTGTCCTACACAATAACCCTCCTCTCTCGTCTCCCTCCTACCAGCCACAAAGGTTTTCAAAGGTAAGTGCAAGTTAATTTGTTTATTTTCTTTATATTTTGTATTTTCTTTATTATTTTGTATTATATTACAGTACTGTAATCATTTTTGTGTGAATATTTTTGGATTGTGGAACAAATTATCTGAGTTTCCATTATTTCTTATGGGGAAATTTAGTTTGATATACAAGTGCTTTAGATTACTTCCAGAACGAAAAATGCTCCCAAACCAAGGTTTTACTGTATAAATTTACTTAATTACTTGTTACATGTTTGGACATTTAAGAGTTACATTACCTAGTTTATGTTTAAATAGTTGTAATGTTAGTACAGTACACTAAAATATTTCAAAAGGCTTTCATTTTCTAGGACAAAATATACTATAGTGTTTGATAAAGCATTAAAGGATAAACTTTTTTATATGCAAGGATTTCCCCCCCCAAATCATAAATTCACAAACTGGTCATTGCTCAAAATCCAGAATATTTTTCAGTTTTTGTGATCAAATAATTTACTTCGCTGGCTCTCAATCAGAACCATCTAGAGTGTTTAAAAGAAAAAAAGAAAAAGAAAAACATTCCCTGGGCTCCAACCCAGACCTTTTAGAACAGAATCTCCAGGGCATGGCATTAGAAGCAAAAGAAGAGTAAAGTACCCCATACTTTTATCTTTATCAGTGGGCCAAAGTCCCTTTAAGAGAGAGATGAAAGTAAATCTAGCTGATTGGTTACCTTATAAACATCACAGGTAGAATTAGCAGTGAGTGTACAGAAGCTTTAGACTTTAAGCTCACAGTTGTCTAGGAAGAGAACACTTCCATGGATCCACTTGTGATTCTGGTGCTCTGTCTCTCCTGTTGGCTTCTCCTTTCTCTGTGGAAACAGAACACTGGGAAGGGGAAGCTCCCGTCTGGCCCTCATCCTCTCCCTTTTATTGGAAATATCCTACAGGTAGATGTGAAGAACATCGGCAAATCCTTATGCAATGTAAGTATGCTTTATGCTCCTCCAGCAGTTTGCAAAGGGTATGTACATTAACCTCTGCTTTTAAATAAAATATCTTTATGAAAATATATTAAATTATAGTATATTAAAATAAAAACATCAAGATATATCTATAAAGCAAATACTCCTTGCGGAGTATTGTCAAGAATAGTGGAATAAGGGGTGCCTGGCTGGGTCAGTCAGTAGAGCGTGCGACTCTTGATCTCAGGGTCATGAGTTTGAGCCCCACAATGGGTGTAGAGATCACTTTTAAAAAATAGTGTAATAAAATAATGTTTTCTATGAATAGAGAAATATTTAGGTCATTCTTTGGTATCATCAAAATAATCAAATGGCAAAAGTGAGGAATGTTGCTGCCCTTCTTTGTTTCAGAGACATTTGGTATGACTTCTGGCTGGAGGTAAACGGTAAGGGAGGTAGTTTGTGATTGGAGATTTCATTCGAGAAGTCATCTACTATATAAACTGTGTGTTTTATTCAGAATAGTCATGAAAATTGAACTCTGAAGAAGCAAATTGTGCCTGATGTCAAGGAAGTAGTTTTGAATAGTAGTTCATTTGCATGAGTGAATGAAAGAAAAAAATCCTTGGGGCCAGCTGGATGGTAACAGAATCCCTTTGGATTCTGTACAGAACTGCTGTCTGTACCCCAAGAATGCTGCAAGAAAGAAGCAATTCTCCTTCTATGAGATGCTGGCCTCTGTGATGCTTGCTCTCTTTTTATGTTAGTAATAGCAGCAGATCTCAAAGTGGAGTGGGCCTTAGCATCATCTGTGGTGATTTTTTTTTTAATTTTTTTTTTCAACGTTTATTTATTTTTGGGACAGAGAGAGACAGAGCATGAACGGGGGAGGGGCAGAGAGAGAGGGAGACACAGAATCTGAAACAGGCTCCAGGCTCTGAGCCATCAGCCCAGAGCCCAACGCGGGGCTCGAACTCACGGAGTGCGAGATCGTGACCTGGCTGAAGTCGGACGCTTAACCGACTGCGCCACCCAGGCGCCCCTGTGGTGATTTTTTTAAAAAAACACATAATTCTAGTGTACATCGTAAGGCTACAGAGATAGAATCTCCAGGGGATGAGCTTTACAGATGATCCTGAAACCATCAGCTGGGTATTGGTCCCCAGGTAGGCACTGGGGACTGGTAAATTGCTCAGGCATCAGAGGTCTGCCAAGCAGGGTTGAAACTGGGGTGTTCTGTTATTAGACACTGGAAATATATAGGAAATTCTTTGAACTTCAGTCTCTCTATACAACAGGGTAAATAAACCTCGCTCAAGGTGTTGCTGTGATGGCTAGTTGTAATAATCTGAGTAATAATAGTCTGGGCCATTGCCTGTCACATCAGTGGCCCTCTCTATGTGTCGGCTGTAACAATCTTATTTATACATAACATCCAGAAATAGGTGAAGCTACGTTCGGCAGAATAAAAACATCAACAATATGATGATGATATCAGGTTTAATCATGCACACACACACAAATGCACAAAATATAGCCAAATTGTGACTTCTTTGGATAATAATATATACATTTTCTTTGCGCTTCTCAGCTCTCAAAAACCTATGGCCCGGTTTTCACTCTGTATTTTGGCATGAAGCCTGCTGTTGTGCTGCATGGATATAAGGCAGTGAAGGAAGCCCTGATTGATCTAGGAGAAGAGTTTTCTGCAAGGGGAAGTTTCCCATTAGCTGAAAGAATTAGTAAAGGACATGGTAGGTATGCTGGTATGCAGGTTCAGCACTGGTTATGGGAGTAGGAAGGATGGAAAACAGGAATTTGAAGGGTAACTCAGCAGAACTTGGCCCATCTACAAGGCTTCCTCCTCCTTGCCCCGGACTTCTGTCCCAGTTTCTGTCTTCCCTCTGGTAGGAATCCTTTTCACCAATGGAAAGAGATGGAAGGAGATGCGGCGCTTCTGCCTCATGACCCTGCGGAATTTGGGGATGGGGAAGAGTGACCTTGAGAGCCGAGTTCAAGAGGAAGCCTACTACCTCATGGAAGAGTTGAGAAAAACCAATGGTGGGTTATTCTATAACTCTGACCTTGACAGGCTGTTTGTTCTCTTGTCTACTGATATCCTTGGAAACATTTCAGCCCTTTTGTGGAGGAGAAAGGGTGTGCAGCAGAGAACCAAGGGAGGTTTTGTGTATCTATGCTTGTTATGTATGTCCTTCCATGACCGTGCATAGGCTGTGTATACAAAAGGTCATTTAATCCTATTCTGTCCCAAATTTGTTAATTTCCAAATCATTACATCATGAAGGTAGAACATTTGGGGAGTCATTTTTTCAAAGAGTTAGAGAACAATGTTTTTCCCATAATGTATATGTGCATTACCTGTTTCAGAACATGTCACCAGGGAATACTTGTCAAGTGGACACAGTGGAAGTGACCTCATCACCCCCTGATGGAGCACATGTAACAAGTGACATGTGCTTTTACTTCATTGGTCTATATGTGTTTGGTCAGCTTCATTGATCTGTCCGAAGGTTTCTTCCCAGGCCCATGTCTACGTTTCTGGCAGTAATGATACTTTTTTTATGGTTGTAATTCCCCAGGCATCTTTAGTGCAGCCCTTATCAGTTGTGATTTCCCTATAAACAGCTATTTAAAAATTTTTTTAATTTAAAATTTAAATTAGTTTCAAATGTACAAGTTAGTGATTGAACACTTTCATACATTACCCAGTGCTCATCACAAATGCCCTCCTTAATCCCCATCATCTGTTTAACCCATCTCCCACCTCCATCTGGTAACCATCAGTTTGTTCTGTATAGTTAAGAGTCGTTTCTTGGTTTGCCTTTCTCTTTCTTTTTTTTCCCCCTTGCTCATTTGTTTCTGAAATTCCACATATGAGTGAAATCATATGGTATTTGTCTTTCTCTGACTTATTTCGCTTAGCATAATACACTCCAGCTCTATCCATGTCATTGCAAATGGCAAGATGTCATTCTTTTTGATGGCTAAGTAATATTCCATTGGTTATGTATATACCACTTCTTTATCCATTCATCAGTCATGAGCAGTTAAGCTATTTCCATAATTTGGCTATTGCACATAATGCTGCTATAAACATCGGGGTACATGTATCCCTTTGAATTCGTAGTTTTGTATCCTTTGGGTAAATATCTAATAGTGCAATTGCTGGATCATAGAGCAGTTCTACTTTTTGAGGAACCTCCATCCTGTTTTCCAGGGTGACTGTGAACGATTATTTTTAAATTACCAGTTTGAGTTATTTAATGTTGCTCGCTAATCTGTAGTATTATTTAATATATGTTAAGAAATATATGCTATAGCATAATCCTGAAAATTACACAAATACCAAATTATAAAATGATTTATTTAAGTTTCAGCTATTAATAACTCTTTACCCTGCCTCCCTTATTAGTTGACTTTCCTTATATTACTCTCCTTTATAGTCTATTAATCATGTTTCTAATTTTCTCTATTTTGTAATGTTTTGACATCTTAGAGGCCTTGCAGAACCAGGGAACAACCTCCCCTCCCAGGGGTAATGAATTACTAGATATAGCAAACATCTTGTCTTAGAGCATGTCTTTGATTTGCAAATCAGCCTATCCACAGCCCATACCCCCAGCTGCCTCCTTTACCAAGTTCTCACACACCAAGCCAATACTCTCCCTGCTCTAAAGCAACGCAGGGCCAATTACTGAAGAACTGGGGAACACCCCTGTAACCCAGAGCCCTCTGCAACTGTTCAAACTATCTGATCCTAAATGTACTCAGCATACCTACCCTGCCTTGCTCACTCCTTCCCATGAAAGCCCCAATGAAGGCTCTGGCCCATGCTTTCCCTCTGTTCCTTCTGCCTCCTCATCTACCTTGGTGCTTCCCTCTTGGTAACTCTGAGTAACAAACTATCTTTTCAATTGCTATCTTCTCCTGATCTACTGGCCTCACGATCTAAATAAAAATTCCAGGTGCATTTTAAAATCATTGGATTTGGGTTAGAACTTGTATGGTAATTATTTTACCCCCCTCTGTCAGCTCTAGTGACTTATGAAGTGCTTGTCACAATGAATCTGATTTTCAGTGTGGATTTCAAATTACCCTGCTTTTTAATTCTCTCTCTAAAATGAAGCGAAAGATTAAAAACCAAATTTTAGCTGTGAATCTCTCTCTCTCTCTCTCTCTCTCTCTCTCTCACACACACACACACACACACACAGATCTCTCTCTCTCTCTCTCTCTCTCTCTCTCTCACACACACACACAGAAATCTGAAGGCCTTCTTAAATTTATCCCCTACCTTCTAGAATAAGTTTTTCCAAAAGCTTACTGTCCTTGAGTGTTTCAACTGAAAAGGAGTCTGGAATAGGAGCAGTTAACTAAACATGTTTCCTATTTTTTAATTCTGTCTCATTTCTTCCTCATTTTTGATTCTGGTCACCTTAATTACATTGATGATGTGAATTTGGGGCCTTTTGCATATAAAGTTTATTGATCATTTGATTATAGCAATTTCATTTAAATATTTCCCACTAAAAATATAAAACTTTTCCTCTGCTTTCATTTATCTGTAAAATGACAGAATTGACTTAAATGATAGTCCAAGTAAAAAATTTATAGCAACGATATGGGCTTCTGCTAATGGCTATATATAGTAATATTCCAGAATTCCACAAGAGGGCAGGCTGTCCAAATAAATGTGGGGCCTGATGGACACTATTTCCTAGAGAAGAAAATTATTTTTTTCTATATTGCAATAAAGAAATAAAAGGACTCGGGGCTTCATGGCTTAGCTGTTGCTGGCCCGACTTCAGCTAGGCGTTCACGCATCTTCACGTCCGTGAGTTCGAAAGCCCCTGCCAGCCGGGCTCTGGGCTGATGGCTCAGGCGCCTGAGCCTGTTTCCCGATTCTTTAGGTCTCCTCTCTCTGTCCCTCGCCTGTTCATGTTCTTGTCTCTCTCATAAAAATAAATAAACGTTGAAAATTAAAAAAAAATAAAAAAAAAAAAAAAAAAAAAAAAAAAAAAAAAAAAAAAAAAAAAAAAAAAAAAAAAATAAAAAAAAAAAAAAAGAAATAGATCCCTATTTATTGCCTCCTTTTCTTAAAATTTTTTTAGGTTCCATGTTGAATATGTATTTGATTCATGAGTCAGGCGTCCCAGGACTCTTTATCAAGTTCATCTTTTTTGTTTGCTTATCTGTGACTTAAGTTTGAAATAAAGATTTCTTATTTTACTTTTATTTTAGGCAAATTGTATTATAATTTGTATCTATTTTAGGTATTTTTCTTCTCATATAATATGGATAGCTTTTACTTTTTTACATTCATTCCATCCAGTATCTGTATTTTTTCCATAATCTTCCTTTAATTTTTCCTCTGCTGATTTTACACATAATAATTAACTATTCATTGTACATAAAAGTTTCAGGTCCCAGTCATTTTTTCCCTTCCTTATATGAGTGCTAATTGCAAGCTTACCAAACAGGTGTGATTCTTCTTTCATAACCTGAATCATTACGTAGTTTTTAAAAATTTATTTTTATTATTATTATTTTTAAGTAATCTCCACACCCAATGTGGAGCTTGAACACACGACCTGACCAACAATTGTATTGCTCCATGTACCACACACCCTATTAGGTATTTTTTAAAAAAGGGCTTTTTGGGGCATCTGGTGGGTTCAATAGTAAAGTCGGTCTTGATTCTAGGTCATGAGTCTGCCTGCTATTAAAAAAAGTAAAGAAGGGAAGAGAGGGAGGAGGGAGGGAGGGATGAGGAGGGAGGAAGGAAGGAAGGAAGGAAGGGAAGGAAGGAAGGAATAGCTGAAGGGAGGGAGGCGGAGTGGGAGGAGGAAGGGTGAGTGATTCTTCTGTTTCTTTGTTCTTCAAAGTAATAGTCCCCTTGGGTAAAAATCAGGTAAACAAATGTAGTGATACTAACTTTTATGTATCATCCCTTGTGCGGTTTTATGCTAATCTTCTCTGTATCGTTCCAATTTTAGTATATGTGCTACTGAAGCGAGCACCAAATGTAGTGATATAAATGGAGTATTTGGAAAACTATTATTAAACAAACGAGGATGGAATGGGCTTCACATTAAAAAAAAAATTTTTTTACATGTATTTATTTTTGGGAGACAGAGACAGAGTGCAAGCAGGGGAGGGGCAGAGAGAGAAGGAGATACAGAATCTGAAGCAGGCTCCAGGCTCCGAGCAAGCTGTCAGCACAGAGCCGGACTCGGGGCGTGAACCCACGAACCGAACTGTGAGATCATGACCTGAGCTGAAGTCCGATGCTCAACTGACTGAGCCACCCAGGCAGGAATGGACTTCACTTTTAAGGGAAAAGTGACAAGTTGATTTTAAGCATACTAAAATTTTCACCGATAAAGGGATTGCTAGGTAGATATTGCTTTAGAGGTTCTAAAATTACCTTTATCTGTTATCAACAACAAAGATTTTTATATGTATATTTTAATGCTATTTAATAAATCTTTCCTATTCTTTTTTTTTTTAATCTCTCCTATTCTTTAGCCTTACCCTGTGACCCCACTTTTGTCCTGGGCTGTGCTACCTGTAATATGATCTGCTCCATTATTTTCCAAAATCGTTTTGATTATACAGATCAGACTTTACTTGGCTTCCTGGAAAAATTTAATGAAAACGTCAAGATTTTGAGCTCCTCATGGGTCCAGGTGAGGTCAAGATCCTCTCTTCCTGAGAAGCTACTTATACTGTTTTGTCCAAGTCCAAAATTCTGTATGAACCATGCTGTGAAGTGAATGAACACTAGACATTTTGGATGTTATAATGTGGTAACTGTGGAAATCAGATTCTTCTCCCTTCTTGAGATTTGTTTTGTTTTGCTTGCTATAGGTTTGTGCTGTTGGTTTTTTTTGTGTTGTTTTTTTTACTTTTTTAAATGTTTTATTTTATTTTTGAGAGAGAGAGAGAGAGAGAGAGAGAGAGAGAGAGAGGGACAGAGTACAAATGGGGGAGGGGCAGAGAGAAAGGGAGACACAGAAGCTAAAGCAGGCTCCAGACTCCAAGCTGTTAGCACTGAGCCGATGTGGGGCTTAAACTCACGAACCATGAGATCATGAGGCTCGAACTCATGAACCATGAAATCATGACCTGAACCAAAGTCAGATGCTTAACGGACTGAGCCACCCAGGCACCCCCGTGTGTGCTGGGTTTTTTGCTTTCTATAGGCTGTAGATGTTTATTTAGTGACTTTTCTGAACTGTTTTTGCTAAGTCTCTTCTTTGTCATGTGCGGTCTCTGAAATCTCTGTTCCTTTAGCTTGTATTAAGCTAATGTTTTGATGGAAGTTTCCTTGAATGTGAGGAGCCGAAATGAAGGGAGAAAGAGGGGGTGGGGAGAGAAAGGGAGGGGGAGAAGGGGGAGAAAGAGAGAGAACTGGAAGGAAGAAGGGAGGGACAGAGGAAGGGAGGGAAAGAGAGGGAGGGAGGGAGGAAGGAACTAATGAATTCTTCCAGATTGGCTCTGTGCTGGGACACTCCTTCAGTGCTTTCATCAGACTGTTTTCAATTCTTTCTCAGCTTGTGCTGAGCCAAGATCATCCAGAGGTGAAAGCTTAGGGTCTTCTGAGGTCTTTTCTTAGCCTATGTCCTGCTTTCTAAACTTTTTTTTTTTTTTTAATTTTTGTTTAATGTTAATTTATTCTTGACAGAGAGAGAGAGAGAGAGAGTGAGTGGGGGAGGAGCAGAGGGAGAGGGAGACACAGAATCCGAAGCAGGCTCCAGGCTCTGAGCTGTCAGCACAGAGCCTGACGCGGGCCTCGAACTCACAAACTGCGGGATCATGACCTGAGCCAAAGTCGGATGCTTAACCGACTGAGCCACCCAGGCGCCCCCTAAACTTTAAATTTCTAAATTCCTCAGTATACATGGGTGCTTTTGAATGCCCTAATTTCCAGAAGTTACTCTCTCCTCAGCTTTTCTTCCTAGGATTTTGATGTTGTATCCTATGCCTTAACTAATCTTTGCCCGAGGAGGCTGTGGGTTATTCATTTGCCTTACAGAGTTTTGGAGACATACCTACTACTTTTCCACTCTGAGTTCTAAGTTAGATGAGACAAAGACCAGAGCCCTTCAGATTGCCCCAGAGAAGTGGCAACAGAGAAAACAATTTTTTGTGAGGATGGTCAGCTCTACTCTTTCTTGAACTAGAAACCAGAGTCCCATGTAAGAAGCTGCCCTTGTTAAGACCCCTGCCAAACTGAGGAAAGAGGTGGGACAAGGACAAATTAAAAACTTCACAAAGCTTTCCCGCCATTTTCAAGTTACCTTTTTCTTAATTCAGCATTCTCTTGATTGCTTTGTTTTCTAGAATTCAGACAAGTTGATTCTCATGGTTTGTGCTAAAATTCTCAGCCTTTTTTGAGAGGGACCTACCTTTGGAGCTGTCTACTGTGACATTTTCACCAGTTATACTCAGTGAAGTGAATTTTTGAATACCGAACTCCTGCCCAGGGCAAGCGTCCTGGAGTGCGCATCTGAGAAAGATAGTTGAAGCCTTTATTTCACAGACAGGAAGACAAATGTCCAAATATGGAGCTGGTGGAATTCAAGCCCATTTGTTCCCTGGTCTGTGATTTTTCCACTAAACCTCAAATCTCAGTTTCCATAAGCTACTTTGGTGACTGCCTGGAAACATGACCACATCACTCCATGGGCATGCAGGCCCCTGCTGGAAGGTTCCCATTGCCCACAAGGTTTGTCCTCCACTCACTTAGTGACCTCTTCATCACATTACTTAACAGAAGTATGCTAATTTAGGAAGGAAAAGAATGTCTCCTTTAAGAAGAGAAAACGTTTGGGATCACAGATGCTACCAGGGAACACTGACTAGGGAGTAGCTTTGTGCTAAATATCAAGTTGCCCAAACTCCCTTAACTTTGGTCTTCATCTATAAAATGTGAATCATAGTAATTCATGTCATTCTATATTTCAAGGTTGTAGGGAGGAATTAATATTTAAAAAATGAGAGAATTGGGCACCTGGGTGGCTCAGTCACTTCAGTCAGTTGAGCATCCAACTCTTGATTTTGGCTCAGGTCATGATCCCAGGGACATGGGATCGAGCCCCACATTGGGCTCTGTGCTGACAGCACACAGGGCCTGCTTGGACTTCTCTCCCTCCTCTCTCTCTCTCTCTGCCCCTCCCCCCACTTGCACATGTACCTTCTCTCAAAATAAATAAACTTAAAAAAAAAGTTTCTCTCTCTCTCTCCCTTTGCCCCTCTACCCTGCTTGTATTCTCTCTCATTCTTTCTAAAAATTAAAAAATAGGCATGCCTGGGTAGCTCAGTCAGTGGAGCATCCAAACTCTTAATTTCAGTGCAGATGTGATCTCATGGTTCATGAGATTGAGCCCCACATCGGGCTCTGTGCTGATGGCACAGAGCCTCCTTGGTATTCTCTCTCTCCCTCTCTCTGCCCCTCCCCACTCTTTCACTCTCCCAAAATAAATAAATAAACTTGAAAAAATAAACTCATTTAATGTCGTAGACTCTGGGTCTAGAGTTCTTTCTTGCCCAGCAAGAAAGCAGGACACAGGATTAAAGTGCGAGAGATGACTAATGTCCTGGAGAAGACAAGAGCCCCGATTAAGGGTCCTTGCTCCATTTTTATTAGGATCAGAAGGCTTACAAACATGGTAATGGACGTGCACAAAGGGACAATGAAACTGTGAACATTAACTCATGGACATGAAGGAAAGAGGGGTTTGAAGATATGTGGAGTTAGGGGTTTGGGTCAATACAAAACAAAACCCTGGTGCCAGGCAGCCAGGCAGAAGGTTGTTTACAGCAGACGTGAGGCACCACTTATCTAGCAAGAAAGAACACTAGACCCAGAGTCTACGACAATTTAAAAAATTAAAAAATTTAAGTTAAAAAAAGAGAGAATTGACATAAAGATGCCTTAATACTATGAGGTTGATGTATGTGTATAGGAAATTATTATTATCTTCCATCATCTGGTCAGAGTTTGTTCCCTTAAGTATCCCTATGAGCATTAGACAGTTACTTTTATATGCACATCAAATGCTTCCCCAGAAGAGAGAGACCATTTTTTTCTTTATCTCATTTCTTTCATGTTTTTAATTTAATAATTTTTTTTTTTATCCTTAAGATCTACAATAGTTTCCCTGCTCTCATTGATTACCTCCCAGGAAGTCATCGCAAAATATTTAAAAATTTTACTTGTACACACAATTATATTTTAGAGAAAATCAAAGAACACCAAGAATCCTTGGACATTAACAATCCTCGGGATTTCATTGATTACTTCTTGATCAAAATAAAACAGGTAAAATGTTGGTGACAGATAATTTATTTGTTTGCCTGCATTTTTGGGGTTCACTGATTAGTTCTGTACTTATCAGGGATGTTTCAATAGGCAAGAAATGCTGGGCCAAACACTTTAGGTTCTTATGTATGCATGGATCTGGATTGAGCATCATAGAAGATCTAAGATTGAATTGCTAAATACCTGGAATACATGGAACCTGTTTGTCAAGTTTCTACCTGAGAAGAAAGAGAATGTACACTTTAGGGGAAATGAAAATTCAAACAGATTAGAAATGACAAAATATTGAGGCGTAAAATTAAGGTGGATGTGATCATGTCACACACAGCATGTGGGAGAGGTAGAAGGAAAGATTTAACCTTGCTAGGCTCCTGCTTGTTTTGAGGGTTGATGTAGATCCTCAAATATTTGCAATAAGGAATAGGGGAGGGAATTTCAGATTGGTAGAGTGGTATGATGAGAGGTTCAGGGGTGTGTATTGTCAAAGAGATTGGATGGATAGAAGAGAGAAGTCTTCGCTGAGTGTAGCCAAACATGAATTTGGACAGATACAGAGTTGAACATTGGTGTCTGTCAAGTAACTGTAAACCTGAGTGTTGGCATGACAAGTTTTGATTTTATCAGGTAGGTATATGAGCCACAAGAGTGGAATGCAAGTAATTATTGGAGGAAATTATCCTGGGAGCCCTGGAGAATGATCTGTATGATAAGAATGGACTCCAGGACCAACCGTGAGATTTTTCATTTCTTCGGACTTTGGCTTGATAAGAGTCTGGACCATGGAGATACAGAGGATCCTGAAATCAAATCAAATTGTTCATCTTGTCACATCTCAGGGATCTATAGAGACTGGTTTTAGTTGGAGGAGAGGATAAGTAGGAACTGTAGGGGAAATTTTAGTAATAAGAACAGATACAGCATTTGAGAAGTTTAACCAAGGAGTGAAAGATTTAGATAATAAATCTGAATGAGTGATAGGATCAAGTTGGAAATCATGTGACAACAGTAATGTAGATGACATGATGACACTTGTGGAGGTACAAAGTCCTCTTTGAACTGGGGAGAGACCAAATCCAGAATGTATCCTAAGGAGCTAATTCTAGAGAAGGAAATTCCTTCATCTGAGGCCATCTTTATTTTATCTAATCACCTTGTAACTCTGGGCAGAAATGAGAAACCAGTTAGTAAGCTAAAATGGCAAGGAGTCAAAGATGCCCATGAGGGTGACTGTCAAAGAATTGTCCATGCATGTCAATTGGACTGCTCAAATCATGTATTCTGGGTGGAATGAAGTGAAGAAGACAGAATGGTTTGAAGAAACTGGAAGAGGGACAAAGCAAATTACTTCCACCCTCTTCTTTCTCTACTAATAGGGCAATTATTTTTATCTCTCTGGTGATCATCTGATTTGAGAATCTGATTAAAAAGTATGGACATTTGGGGTGCCTGGGTAGCTCAGTCGGTTAAGCATCCGACTTCAGCTCAGGTCATGATATCACGGCTCGTGATTTCAAGCCCTGAATCAGGCTCTGTGCTGACAGCTCAGAGCCTGGAGCCTGCTTCAGATTCTGTGACTCCCTCTCTCTCTCTGCCCCTCCCCTGCTCATGCTCTGTCTCTCTCTGTCTCTCAAAAAATAAATAAATGTTAAAAAAAAAAATTTTTTTTTAAGTATGGACATCTTCCCAGAAGAATGCACCTACATTAATTTTTTTTTCCACATATTTTGAGGAATTTTCTTAATGCTGGGAAGCCTCTCCACTGATCCTGGGCTAATTAAGGCTCTGACATCTCTCTTTCAATTAACAGTATTTCTTTATACTATATTTTAAAATTGCATTGTTCCTCTGGTCTTCATCATAGTATTTAAATTCTATCTTATTCCTTTTTGTTGTTGTTAACATCTTCATAGAGTATAATTTACATACCAAACCCTTCACACATTTCAAGTACAATTCAGGAGTTGTGTATTTTCAGAGTTCTGCAACACCACAGCAATCAATTACCAAATATTTTCATCACCCTGAAAAGAAGCCCCATACGCGCCATCAGAAATCTCCATTGCCCCTGAATCCTCCCTTCAGGCATCACTCCTCTACTTTCTGTCTTTATAGATTTGCTATTCTGGATGTTTCATATTAATGGACTTCTACAGTATGTGGTCTTTTGTTCTAGCTTCTTTCACTTAACATAATGTTTTCAAGGTTCATTGATGTAACTTATATCAGTACTTCATTCCTTTGGTTGAATATTGTTCTGGAGTGGCTATGCCATATTTTATATATCCACTCATTGGTTGATGGACATTTTGGTTGTTTCTGGTTTTCTGGTTATTATGAATAAACTTCTGTGGACATTTGTGTACAGGTTTTGGTATATACAAATGCTTTAATTTCTCTTGGGTATATACCTGGTGATAGAATTGCTGGGCCATATGATAACTTTGTATTTAACCTTGGGAGGAAGTGTGGTGGGTCAAAAACCTGAATGTAAGAGCTAAAAATGTAAAACTCGTAATTACAAGAAAACTTAGGCATAAAATTGGCTAAAATTGATAATCCATTTGTATGTAAGCACTGGTTCTTTAAATTTGCTTCAACAGTAGGAAATGCTAAAAATGGTTTATTAGTGCCCTATTCTTTTTCCTCGCTTTAGAGTGATTTTGGGTTGGCAATGTTAGAAAACTGTGTGAAGTTGATGTTACTGGTGGGTCTAGTAAGTACAGCTATTGAGTGGGTTAAGCCTATCTTAATGGAGTTGATTACATGTTAGGCATGCTACTGGTCACTTGGGGATTATAAAAACCTTATTAAATTAATGCTGGTCTATAGGAAGGGATAGGAAGAAATTATTATTATTATTATTATTTGTATTTTAGTGACCTCAATAGTAAGTATTTCAAATGGCCCTATGGTTATTATCGACTTTGTGTCATCCTTACCTTAAACCAACTTCGGTTGTCCTTGTGAAGTGCTTTTGCTTCCCAATGTACAGTTTATGAGACCTCTATTCAGTCAGTCTCTTATCCTCAACATCTGCATTTCCCCTACACTCTCCTTCATCCCTTATGAGCAGTTAATGCTTAAATTTTCTGTCTTCATGTCTGTAGTATTTCTTCTATCTCTATATCCCCATTAATTCCTGTACTTGTTTCCTACTCCAAGTTGCCTCCTGCCTCACATCTAGAATAATCTGTTCTAGGATGTGCTGTCATGTTAGCTTTTGCACATTTTCAACCTCATAATGAGATTTTAGGCAATATTGAATCCACATAAATTCTATAACAGAAGAAGAGAATTGCAAATTCTCGATCTTGGTTTATACCATTTTGTGAGATATTGCTCTAATTTACTCATTTCTCTCTATTCAGATTGTGTTTGCCTACCAACAAGAGAAAACCCAATTAACAATATTTTAAGAATGTGTAGTGGGTTTATTTATCTCATGTACAGCGAATTTCATGTAGAGCAGTCCAGGACATGTACAGTAGCTCTGAAGTATCATGGACTCAGGTGCCTTCTATTTTTCTTTAGCACACTTAGTGTGTAGGCTTTATGTTCATGCTCAAATACTCGTGTTTCAAGATGATGTCTACACCGCCACCACCACCTACATATCTGTGTTTTGAGTAAGAAGAAGGAAAGAGAAAGTGGCATCCATAGGCCATTGGTAAGAAATAGATTGCTTGGCCAATGTAGCTGCAAAGGAGGCTGGGAAGTAGAATTTGTAGGCAAGCAAGGGATAAGGAATAGGAAATGAAGATTGGGTCAGCTAATGCATACAGTTTTCCATACCATACAGTTATTATTTTAACACTGCCCTCTCCAGTTTCTAAGTTTGCTTCCCTTGATAACAATGTGCTATTTGGGATTTATTGTAATGACATGTGCTGGCAAACCATCAAATAATGGCATTGAATAATTCCTAGGAAAACCACAGTCAGCAGTTGGAGTTCACTATTGAAAACTTGATAGCCACTGCAAGTGATTTGTTTGCAGCTGGGACAGAGACCACAAGCACCACCCTAAGATATGCTCTCCTGCTCCTGCTGAAGCACCCGGAAGTCACAGGTACCGCCAGCATGGTAGGAAGGGTGAATTTCAGAAATGATGTTGAGAAGACACTCGTATGGGCTTCCATCTTGTTTCTCTTAGAGAAGCTTCCTTACTGAAATTCCTGTGCCACCAGCTCTGATTTGTCCAAATATGAAAAAGGGAGATAAGTGAGGCAAATTCACACACTAGCAGAAGGATGACTGAGAAGTGAAGACACTGTGAGCAATAATAGCAAAAGCAGAAAGCTATGGATTTTATCAACAAAAAGAACTTTGGATAAATGTCTAGATTTTATGGGAAAGCATTTATAGCAGGCACGGCCAGCATAAGTTGAATATCAGTTTTCTTAAAAGAGGCCACTTTGAATGGTAGGTGTGTTCTTGGAGAAATCTTTCCTGGGGTTGCTGGGTCAGTTGAGCATCTGACTCTTGGTTTCAGCTCAGGTCATGGTTCCAGGGTCATAGGATTGGGCTTTGCATTGGGCTCCATGCTGAGTGTGGAGCCTGCTTAAGGTTCTCTCTCTTTCTCTCCCTCTCTCTGTTTCTCTCCTCTGCTTGTGCTCTAAGAAATAAAAGAAAGAAAGAAAGAAAGAAAGAAAGAAAGAAAGAAAGAAAGAAAGAAAGAAAAGAAAGAAAAGAAAGAAAAGAAAGAAAAGAAAGAAAAAAAAGAAAAAAAAGAAAAAAAAGAAAGAAAAAAAGAAGAAAAGAAAGAAGGGAAGGGAAGGGAAATATTCTGAATATGCAGTTTTCTAATGGTAAGGTAGGGAAGATGGGAACTGTTTGTTGAAGTATAGCAGAAACTTAGTAAGATGGCCTGAGAAAATTTCCAGTCTTGGAAGTATTTTAGAAGGTTAGATTTATAAAAGATACATGCTATTTAGACACAATGTGGTTTAAAGGATTTTTTTTCCCTTTTAATTTTTTTTTAACTTTGTTTATTTTTAAGTAGGCTCCATGCCCAAAGCAGAGCCCAATGCGGGGCTTGAACTCACAACCCTGAGATCAAGACCTGAGCTGAGATCAAGAGTTAGACACTTAACCGACTGAGACACCCAGGCACCCCATTTTTTTCCTTTTTAAACAACTATATTTTTCCACCTTATTGAGGTATAATTAACAAGTAAAAATTGTATATACTTATAGTATATAATGTGATGATTTCATATACATGTACATTGTGAAATGATTACCACAATCAAGCTGATTAACATATTTACCACCTCACATAGTTACCTTTTGGAGGAGGAGGGTATGGTGACAACTCTTAATATCTACTCTCTTAGCAAACTTCAAGTGTACAATACAGTATTAATCACAGTCACCATGTTGTACATTAGACACCCAAATTTATTCATTTTAAAAGTTTGAACCCTTTGACCAATATCTCTCCATTTCCCCCACCCCCAGCCTCTGGCAGCCACCATTCTACTTGCTGCGTCTATGAATTTGACTTTTTTAGATTCCACATATATGTGAGATCATGCAGTATTTGTCTTTTTGTGTCTGGCATATTTACTTAGTGTAGTATCCTTTAGTTTCATCCATGTTGTTGCAAATGTCAGATTTTATTCTTTATTGGCTAAATAATATTCTGTTGTTATCCTTTTCTTTATTCATCTATCAGTGAACACTTAGGTTTTTCCATATCTTGGCTATTGTGAATAATGCTGCAATGAACATGAGAGTGCAGAGATCTCTTTGAGATACTGATTTCCTTTTCTGTGGATATATGCCCAGAAGTAGAATTGTTGGATCAATGTTAGTTCAGGTTTTAATTTTTTCAGCAACCTCTCTACTGTTTTCTATAATTGCCGTACCAATTTACATTCCTATCATCAGTTTACAGGGTTCTCTTTTTTTCTGCATTCTTACTAATATTTTTTATCTCCTGTCTTTTTGTTAATAGCCATACTAACAGATGTAAAGTGATATCTCACTGTGGTTTTGATCAACACGTCCCTGATATTCAGTACCTTTTCATATATCCACAGGCCATTTGTATGTCTTCTTTGGAAAAATGTGTATTCAGGTCTTGTGCCCATTTTATTTTAGGTTGTTAATTTTTTGCTATTGAGCAGTATGAGTTCCTTATGTATTTTGAATATTAATCCCTCATCAGATACATGCTTTGCAAATGTTTTCTTCTATTCCGTAGGTTACCTTTTCATTTTATTGATTGTTTCCTTTGTTGTTGTTGTTGTTGTTTTTGAGTAAACTTTAAGCCCTATGTGGGGCCCAAACTCACAATCCCGAGATCAAGAGTCTCATGCTCTACTGACTGAGCCAGCCAGGTGCCCCTGTATTCTACCGTTTTGATTACTGTAGCTTTGTAATAGGGCTTGAAATCAGAAAGCACGGTACCTCCAGCTCTGTTCTTTTTTCTCAAGACTGCTGTGTCTATTCAGGGTCTTCTGTGGTTTAGTATGAACTTTCGGATTTCTTTTTCTGTTTTTGTGAAAAATGTCATTGGAATTTTGGTAAGGATTACATTGGAGTAGATTACTTTAGTTAATATAGGCACTTTAACAATATTAATTCTTCTAATCCATGACCACAGGATATCTTTCCATTTAATTGTGTCCTCTTCAATTTTTTAATCAATGTTCTATAGTTTTCAGTGTACATATCTTTCACCTCTTTGGTTAAATTTGTTACTAAGCATTTTATTCTTTTTGATGCCATTGTAAATGGAATTGTCTAATTTCTCTTTCAGATAGATCATTGTTAGTGTATAGAAACACAACTGATTTTTATATATTGAGTTATATCTTTCTACTTTACTGAATTTGTTTATTCCAACAATTTTTGGTGAAGTCTGTAGGATTTTCTATATATAAGATCATGTCATCTGCAAACAGACACCATTTAACTTCTTTCTGTTCAGTATGGATGCCTTTTATTTATTTTTCTTGTTTAATTGCTCAGGCTAATCCAGTACTATGTTGAATAAAAGTGGCAAGTGTAGGCATCCTTGTCTTGTTCCTAATCTTAAAGGAGAAAACTTTCAGCATCTCACCACTGAGTATGATGTTGTCCTTGGCTTGTCATGTATGGCCTTTATTATATTGAGGTTCATTCCTTTTATATGTAATTTGTTGAGAATTTTTTTAATCATGAAAGGATGTTAAACTTTGTCAAATGCTTTTTCTGCATCTACTGAGATGATTATATCATTTTTATCTTTCATTCTGTTAATACAGTGTATCATATTTATCTTTTTGAGTATTTTGAACCACCCAGGCATCCCAGTGATAAATCAAGCTTGATCATGGTGTATGATCCTTCCAGGGTGCTGTTGAAGTCAGTTTGTTAGGGTTTTTTGTTGTTTTGTTTTTGTTTTTGTTTTTGTTTTTTTGAGAATTTGATCTGTGTTCATCAGGAATATTAGCCTTTTCTTATCACACTTCTAAAAGAATTTTATTATTTTAGAAGTCTGAGTCCAGAAAAATGGTGTTTGCGAAAACAATTTCTTTTTGGGTCAATAGTTTTTATCTTTTGCGAACTAAGAACAACTTAAAAAATGTTTTTAAAACTTCAAGAATATTCTGGTTGTGCACAGCAGATCAGTTATACACATGGTTTTCTGAATCAGAATCCCATTGAAATGATGATAAATTAATTATAAATGAGCACTACTGTTTCAGTTGGAGAAGAGAAGCACAGCAAAACAGTTATCAAATCTTCAACAAATTTCTAAAGCATAGAGAGTAAATGGAGGGCTGATAACCGTCTCAGGAGGGAGATTGAAGTTGTAAGCTAAATGTCAAAGAAGGAAGATTTAGTCTGGGAAAACAAGCCCCTACAACTACATAAGGCTCAGTATTGAAAGAACCAAATCTCAAGAAAGGTAGAGGGAGACTGGAGTAGAAAACAGGAGGCTCTCCCTGCCTAGCTACCTGCTACAACTTCTCTTAGCAGGTAACTGTTTTCCCTCCACAGAAAAGGGAGCTCACTCTCTAGAGAAACTGAACCTAAGAGACCTTGCCCTCAGGGACACTTGGCAGAGACAGAGAAAGAGTGAAGTGTAGGGCTGAAAAAGAAAGACTAATAGTCTACTTGAATTCTGAGACCCTTAGCTCCTTTCTCTATCCTCTTCCTAAAATTCAGCAGCCAGATATAGACCTCAGAGAATGAACAACTCCAGAGAAGAGACCTCCCTCTTCTGCCATCTAGACAGAAAATTCTCACCAAATTCCCAGCAAAGTGAATGAAATAATAATATCCTTCCTAAGACAGAGGGTCATGGAATTGCAGAACACCACGATTAAAGAAAAATTCATAAAAACTTTCAGAGATAAATTAAGTACTGTATGGCATTAGAATTCTCAAGAGCAACTATATCCTGAGTATTAAAGGATATTTTCAGATCTACAAGTTGGCAAAAAACTTACCCTCTGATTTTATTTTCTTAGAAATACACTGGCTCAGTCAGTAGAACATGTGTCTCTTGATATCAGGGTTATAAGTTTGAGCCCCACTTTGGGTATAGAGATTGCTTTAAAAATTTTTTTTTAATTAGGGGCGCCTGGGTGGCTCAGTCAGTTAAGCCTCTGACTTCAGCTCAGGTCATGATCTTGCAGTTTGTGGGTTTGAGCCCTGCGTCAGGCTCTGTGCAGATAGCTCAGAGCCCGGAGCCTGCTTCAGATTCTGTGTCTCCCTCTCTCTATGACCCTCCTTTGCTCACACTCTATCTCTGTCTCTCTCTGGAAAGTAAATAAACATAAAATAAAATAAAATAAGTTTTTTAATTAAAAAAAATATACTAGAGTGTATGCTCTATGCAGACGTCTGAAATCAAGTCAGAGGAAGTCGTGGGCTCCAGGAATCAGGAGGTCCCATGTAGGAGAATGGAAGTGAGAATGTACTGGGCACCAGGCTTAGAAAATATCCATTTCAAATTGGACTAGGTGGACAAAGCAGATGTGAGAGGACATACCCAAGAAGAAAAGAGAAAGGATCAGTTATTTGAGGTTTACCAGTAATTAGAAAAATTATTACTAGGAGTTTGAAACATCTACCTGAGCAGTTGCCATAATTCTAAATTAGCATCTAAAAAGTAGGAATTGAAATAAGCAAAGAATGTACAAATAAAACCAAGAATGTACAAAAAATGAAACATAATCATAGTTGTCACACTTATGTAATATTTATTATAGTCATAATATAAACAATGAATATTGAGATAATCAGAAATTATATGAATATATTGGGGAAAATGGAACAAGGGGAAGCATGTGTGTGTATGTATCTGTCTGTGGATGTGTGCATTTTGTATGGGGTGGGGGTTGAAACATAAGTCCTGCTCTCTTACCGGAACATCATTAGACATTGTCTAAAAATGAGTAAGTTGTGGGGGCACTTGGGTGGCTCAATCAGTTAAGCGTCCTGCTCTTGATCTCAGCTCAGGTCTTGATCCTCATGGTCATGAGTTCAAGCCCTGCGTTGGGCTCTGTGCTGGGCATGAAACCTACTTAAAAATAAAGAAATAAAAATAGAATAAAGAAAAAAATAAAAAATTAGTAAGTTGAGAAATAGGAATAGTCAACATTTAGAAACGTGAAGCATAAATTTCAGAAGAAACTGCTAGAATCTTTCAAATCTTTCAAAATCTCAAACCTTTGGGAAATGTGAGGATGAGAGAAGATATCATTGTAAGGTGCAAATAACTATACACATACAACATACATACAGTCACACAAACCATACATACATATACATCAGTTATAGAATTTGATTTTTAAAACATTATTTTGATATGAAAAAAATACTTAATCCCTGTTTTCCTTTCTTTGAGGACAGTGATTTCTTGAGTTAAAATGTACTATTAACCTATGCTTATCATAGATGTGCACAGATTGATCTCAAAGCCTAGCTTGTCTGGAGTCATATGTGTCAATATTACGGCAACTCTCTCAGATGTACTTCTGGGCACATAGCCGATGTTTGTGATGATGTTGGAATACCTTCAAAGTGTTCAGATAACCTGAGTTGGCATGCAAATGTCTATGCATTTTTCACTTTTTTCATCAGTCTTATTTGTGTTTTATCAGCTAAAATCCAGGAAGAGATTGGCCATGTAATTGGCAGACACCGGAGCCCCTGCATGCAGGACAGGAGCCGCATGCCCTACATGAATGCAGTGTTGCATGAGATCCAGAGGTTCATTGACCTTATCCCAGTCAACCTGCCACATGCAGTGACCCGTGACATTAAATTCAGAAACTATGTCATCCCCAAGGTAAGAGATATTTCTCCTACACTGACTTTAGTGCTCTTGAAGTTCCCCTGTTCTCACTATTGGCTCAGTCCTCTACCAATACAAGATGAGAAAGGTGCAAAACTCATATATGTGGCAGCTTGATGGATTTTGTGTTGTTTCCAGTTTTAAAGTTTATTTATTTTATTTTTTTTAAATTTTGTAATGTTTATTTGTTATTGAGAGACAGAGAAAGACAGAGCATGAGCATGGGAGGGACAGAGAGAGAGGGAGACACAGAATAAGAAGCAGAATCCAGGCTCTGAGCTGTCAGCACAGAACCCGATAGGGGGCTCGAACTCACAAACCATGAGATCATGACCTGATCCTAAGTCGGACATTTAACTGACTGAGCCACCCAGGCGCCCCTATTTATTTATTTTAAGAGAGAGAGAGAGAGACAGCGTGAGTGGGGGAGGGGCAGAGAGGAGAGAGAATCCCAAGCAGGCTCCACGCTGCCAGTGCAGAACCCTATGCAGGGCTTAAACTCATGAACCATGAGATTGTGACCTCACGAACCATGAAATCATGACCTGAACGAAATCAAGAGTCGGACGCTTAACCGACCGAGACACCCAGGCGCCCTACTGAGGCTACATACTTTTATGGCAGGTTTTGGTATTTGGCTGTGTAAGTCTTCCAAATTTGTTCTGCTTCTTTAATATTGTTTTGGCTACTCTTAGCTGTTTACATTTCCAAACAAATTTGAGTATCAGTTTGTCAATAATCCAAAGCATTTGGCTGTGATTTTTATCAGGGTGATAATAAAATAATTTAGAAAGAATTGACATGTTGGTATCTTGAATCTTTCAATTCATGGATATGGCATATTCTCCCAATTTATTTGGACTTTCTTTAATTTTTTCAATATTTTCAGTGCAGTGGCTTGTATATCTATTAGGTTTTTCCTAGATGAGTGGTATTTTTGATGTTACTATAGATTGTATAATTTTTAAAATGCCTTTTCTACTTTTTTTGTTATATGGAAATATACTTGATTTTATTATCTTGATGACCTTACATCTAGCAACCTTTCCAAATTGACTTATTGCTAATAATTTGTGGATTTATTTGTAATTTCTATACACAGAATTCTTCAACCTGGTTTAATGTATATTTTTTAATGTTTATTTATTTTTGAGAGAGAGAAAGAGAGAGAGAGAGAGACAGAGACAGAGACAGAGAGCAAACAGAGGAGGGACAGAGAGAGATGGAGACACAGAATCTGAAGCGGGGCTTGAACTCACAAGTAGTGAGATCATGACCTGTGCCGAAGTCAGATACTTAACCAACTGAGCCACCCAGGTGCCCCAATATTTGTTTTAATAATTAATACTTGAACTTTAAATTTTATATACTTGCAATGAGCTTTAATTTAAATATAAATAATCATGGATCACTCAAGGCTACTGTGTTGGACAGAACCGATCTAAGTTGTTGTTGTTGTTTTTAATACTTGAAACTTTATGTTAAAACCTTTATTCTGCAATATTAAAAACTCAGAAAATTAAAAATAAATCGAAGTGCAATTTCTTTCAGTGGCCAGAATCTTGAACTGAAGTGAATCAATCTATATATTCCTTATTGATGCACTTTGTGTGAATATTCATGTTTTGCTGAAGAGGTATCAATGTGTTTGATTATATGATACCACATTATTGGGAGTATTTTAAAATTTATGGCATATACATCATAATACCTTTCTAAAATCATCAAACAGTACTTAATTTGAAAACACATTAGGCCTCAGGAGGTTCAGATGAAGGATTGTGTATTTATACTTTCATGAAAACAAATGTTTATATTTGTTGAGCTGATGTAGAAAAATAAGCTAAAATAGTCATGCTGTATATAACTTTGAAATGGTTAATAAAAACAACTTTGGAGGGCTGGCGTGTGGCTGGCTCAGTCGGTAGAGCATGCGACTCTTGATCTTGGGATTGTGAGTTCAAGCCCCACATTGGGTGTAGAGACTACTAAAAAAAATACATAAACTTAAAAAAAACACTTTGGGGTGCCTGGGTGGCTCAGTCGGTTGAGCGTCCGACTCTTGATTTCAGCTCAGGTCATGATCCTAGGGTCTTGGGATTGAGCCCCGCATCCCCCTCCACGCTGAGGTCAAGCCTGCTTAGGAATCTGTCTCCCTTTGCCCCTCTCATCCACTAGCATGTGCACACCCATGCTTTCTCTCTCTCTCTAAAATAATTTTTAAGAGACATGGATTTACATATTAAACAAACAAAAAACCTTTGGGAGAGGGATGACTTCCTCTGAGTTGCAGAAAACCATTTGGGCTTCATCTGGCTTTCAGGTTATTTCCCAGCCAGGAAAATGCCTCGTCAGAATCACAGTTGTATGCTTAGGGCAGAAGGGTGAAAGAAGTGACACTTGTGCAGAGAGGGCTATTTCTCTTCTGGGTTTTCTAAATGAACCAGGCACTTTCTTCTGCCAACCGTATCCTAAAAATGGAAAACTCAAGTAGATATTTGAAATGCAAGGCAGTAGGAGATAAATTCAGGAGGATAACCTCTGTATAAACTCTGGCTCGGTTACCCTTTACTATAATCTTGAATAAATTTCTTAATCCTATGTGCCTTGGTTTTCTCATTTGTAAGCTGTTGATAGCACTGACCTTTACGTCACTAGAATGTTGCAAGAATTCAACCAGGTAACATATACAAAATACAAGCTAAAACTATGACCATTTTTACTTATTAGACTGATGAAGTCAAAGGCTGAGAAAATGTTGTATTGGTGAGGGAGTGTGTAAATGAGCACTTTCAATCACCAGTGGCAGGATTGTAGATAACTACATCTTTTTTGGAGGACATTTTGGCAATATCTATCAGAAATAAAATATAGAATCTTATAACGCAAGAATTATAATTCTTGGTATATACTACAAGTGCTAACAGAGGAATGTTCAAAAAATGTGTCCTTGCATCACTGTTTATAATAAGAGCATTCTGTTTTTGTTTCTGAGAGGGAGAGAGAGAGAGAGAGAGAGAGAGAGAGAGAGAATATCTTAAGCAGGCTCCATGCTCAGCACTGAGCCCAACATGGGGCTTGATCCTACAACCCTGGGTCATGACCTGAGCCAAAATCAAGAGTCAGATGCTTAGCCAACTGAGCCACACAGGTGCCCCTAAAAAAATATTCTTAACTATCTAAATGTTCATCAGTAGTGTAATGATACATTCATATTCTATAGCATGAATAAGGCAGATGTACATGTGTTGATATGGGCCAGTACCAAATTATTTTATTAAATAAAAAATAAGATTTTTATTTCTTTTTATGAAACAAGTACTAAAGCATGACAATGACATCGTTGCCTCTAAGTAAGGCTAAATGCACTTTCAAATCATATCTTGTTTAGAAGGCTAAGCAATGCATCTATGGAAGCACTGCATCTTGAGATGATTTTCATCAATGATTCTAGAATTTCTAATAAAATTCCTGCTGTGCCTCTCAAATTCAAGTAAAATTAAAAAAAATCAAGATGTAGTAGTGGATGCTTGTCATTTGATAAAAAAAAAAAAAAAAAGAAGAAGAAGAAGAAGAAGGTGATAGGCCGAATAAACATGTAGATTTATTTGCCTGATATATATATTCTCTCTGGAAGGGCATATTCCCTGGAAGGACATATCACTCGTTGTGAATAGTTGTTTTTGGAAAGTATTTAGATGGGAGGGAGACCTACTTTTCACCATATGTGCTTTTTGTGACTTAGTGCATTCCTCTATTTTTAACTTGAGGTATAAGTTATACAAAAGAAAATTCACATTTTTAAGGGTAAAGTCTAATGAGTTCTGACCAATATGTGAAGTCAAGTAACTACCACCACAACCAAGATGTAAAACATTTCTGTCATCTCAAAAAAGTTCCCTCATTCTCCTTTTAAAATCAATCCACTTCCCCCAGTTCCAACTCTTGGTAACCACTGATCTGTTTTTGGTTCTACGGTTTTGCCTTTTCAAGAATGCAATGTAATAGAATGTGACATAAATAGAATAACTTGTAATCAATATAAATAAGCCTTTATCTTTTTTATGTGACAGAATGTATTTGAGATTTATTGCACTTTGTTATTGCACTTATCATTAATTTGTTCTTTTTTTTGATGAATGATTTTCTATCCTACAGAGTACCACAAATTGTTTATCCATTCACTACTTGATGGGTATTTGGGTTGTTTCCAGTTTGAGACTATTTGAATAAAAGTGCTGTGAACATTTGCATACAGGTTTTTGTGTGGATATAAATTTTCATTTCTTTTGGGTGAATGCTTAGGAGTGGGACTTTTGCTTAACTGTTTAACTTTATAAAAAACCATCAAATATTTTCTAAATGTGGCTGTGATATTTTACATTCCTGCTAGCAATGTGTGAGAGTTCCAATTGCTTCAGGTACCTTCCATCACTTGCCATTGATGGTCCTTTTTTTTTTTTTAATGTTTATTTATTTATTTTTAGAGAGAGGGAGGGAGGGAGAACATGAGCGAGGGAGGGGCAGAGAGAGAGAGAGAGAGAATCCCAAGCACACTCCATGCTGTCAGTGCGGAGCCTGATGCAGTGTTTGAACTCACGACTGTGAGATCATGACCTGAGCCAAACTCAAGAATTGGGTGCTTAACTTACTGAGCCACCCAGGTGCCACATTGTTGGTGTTTTTAAATTTTAGGTACTATAAGTGGTTATTTAGTGACGTCACATTTTGTTTTATTTCTATTTTCTGGATGGATAATGATGTTGGGCTTCTCTTCATGTATTGATTGACTATTGATTTATATTCTTTGGTCGAGTTCTCAAATTATATTCCTATTTTGTATTGGGTCGTTTGTCTTATTTAATTATTGCAATCCTTTATATATTGTATACACAAGTCTTTTATTACATGTAAGTGTTGCTAATATTCACTCTCAATCTGTAAAGTGCTTGCTTGCTTGCTTTTTTCTTCTTTCCTTTTCTTCCTTCCTACCTTCCTCCCTCCCTCTTTCTTTCTTTCTTTCTTTCCTCCAAAGAATGTCTTTCAAAGAGCAGAAGTTTTGAATTTTGATGAATCCAATTTATCAGTTATTTCTCTTTTGACTTGTGCTTCTGTGTCCTATCTGGAAAATTTTTTTGCCAACACAGGTTCCCAAACATTTGCTCTTATCTTTTCTTCTACAAGTTTTATGCTCTTAGCTTTTGTATTTAGGTCTGCGATCCATTTAAAATTCATTTTCACTTATAGCGTGAAGTAGTTTATACTTCATTCCTTTTGTTAGGGACACCCACTTGTTCCAGCACCATTTATTGAAAATACACTTGCTTTTTAAATCTTAAAGTAACACTTCCACATATTACTTGTCTTAAAATGCACAAGGCAATAATATTGAAAACAAAATTATAGACCTTAAATATGATAGAGGATGGAACTTCCTTCCAATTTTGAATTTAAAAAATAAAAAAGATAGGGGCGCCTGGGTGGCGCAGTCGGTTAAGCGTCCGACTTCAGCCAGGTCACGATCTCGCGGTCCGTGAGTTCGAGCCCCGCGTCGGGCTCTGGGCTGATGGCTCAGAGCCTGGAGCCTGTTTCCGATTCTGTGTCTCCCTCTCTCTCTGCCCCTCCCCCGTTCATGCTCTGTCTCTCTCTGTCCCAAAAATAAATAAACGTTGAAAAAAAAAAAAAATTAAAAAAAAAAATAAAAAAGATCTCAGTAGCATTTAAACACACACAATGGTATATAATGTTTTATGTTTATATAAATAATACATATGAAAATGTGTATACATCTATATTTTAAGTACATATCTATCTGTATCCATTGATCTGTCTATCACACTTAACACCTAAATATTTCATATGTGTCTTTTAAGAACAAGGGCTTCTGCGTAGCAGTAATAGCATTCACACTCAAAGAATTATCATATATACAATAACTTTATCTAAAATATAGCTATAGATTTTTTCAGTTATCCTAAAATATCTTTTTTTTTTTTTTAATGTTTGTTTATTTTTGAGAGATGGTTAGAATGCCAGTGTGGGAGGGGCAGAAGGAGATAGAGAATCTCAAGCAGGCTTCATGCTGATGGCAGAGAGCCCAATGCGGGGCTTGAACTCAAACTGTGAGATCAAGACCTGGGTTGAAGTCAGATGCTTAACCAACTGAGCCACCCAGGTGCCCCCCCAAAGTATCTTTTATAGCTTTTTTCGAGGGGGCATCTAGTATCTAATAAAGGAATAAATATACAATTTTATTATCGGTCCCTTTACGTCCCTTTTATAAAGAACAGTTCCTTTTCTTTTATTTATTTCATTTCAATACACTATTGAAGAGTCCAGGATAGTTGTCATGTAAAATATTCCTCAGTCTGGTTTTGTATGATTTTTTTGTTTTTGTTTTTGGTGTTTTTTTTTTTTTTTTTTTTTTTGAGAAAAAGAGAGAGCATGTGAGCAGGGGAAAGGGGCAGAGGGAGAGAATCTTCAGCAGGCTCCATGCTCAGCACGGAGCCTGACATAGGGCTCTATCCCATGACCCTGCGATCATGACCTGAGCTGAAACCAAGAGTCAGATGCTCAATCGACTGAAGCACCCAGAAGCCCTGTGTGATTTTTTTTTTTTGTTTTTGTTTTTGTTTTTTTAGATTAGATTCAAGTTCTGTGTTTTGGTGAAGAACATTACATACGTGATGTTGTGTACGTCCCAGTGAATTACGTTTTGGCTAGAGACATGTAATATCAATTTATATCATTATTGGTGATGCTAAGGTAGTCATTTATTAAGGAGGTATCTTCCATGGGGCACCTGGGTGGCTCAGTTGGTTAAGTGTTGTACTTCAACTCAGGTCATGGTCTCACGGTTTGTGGGTTCAAGCCCTACATTGGGCTCTGTGCTGACAACTCAGAGCCTTGAGCCTGCTTCAGATTCTGTTTCCCTCTCTCTCTCTACCCCTCCCCCACTCAAAAATAAACAAAAATATAAATAAACATTTAAACAAATAAACTTTTTGAGGAAACTCCCTACTGTTTTCCAGAGTGGCAGCACCAGTTTGCATTCCCACCAACAATGCAAGAGGGTTCCCCTTTCTCCACATCCTCACCAACATCTGTTGTTTCCTGAGTTGTTCATTTTAGCCACTCTGACAGGTGTGAGTTGGTATCTCAGTGTGGTTTTGATTTGTATTTCCCTGATGATGAGTGATGTTGAACATCTTTTCATGTGTCTGTTAGCCATCTGGATGTCTTCTTTGGAAAAGTATCTATTCATGTCTTCTGCCTGTTTCTTACAGATTTTGAATACTAACCCTTTATCTGAAACGTAATTTGCAAATATCTTCTCCCATTCCATCAGTTGCCTTTTAGTTTTATTGATTGTTTCCTTCACTGTGCAGAAGCCTTTTATCTTGATGAGGTTCCAGTAGTTCATTTTTGCTTTTGTTTCCCTTGCCTCCAGAGACGTGTCTAGTAGGAAGTTGCTGTGACTGAGGTTAGAGAGGTTGCTGCCTGTTTTCTTCTCTAGGATTTTGATGATTTCCTGTCTTACATCTAGGTTTTTCATCTTTGGAATTTATTTTTGTGTATGTTATAAGAAAGTGGTCCAGGTTCACTCTTTTGCATGTCGCCCTCCACTTTTCCCAGCACCATTTGTTGAAGAGACTGTCTTTTTTTCCATTGGATATTCTTTCCTGCTTTGTTGAAAATAAGTTGGCCATATACATTTGTGGGTCCATTTCTGGGCTTTCTATTCTGTTCCATTGATCTATGTGTCTGTTTTTCTGTCTGTACCATACTGTCTTGATAATTACATCTTTGTAACATAGCTTGAAGTCCAGAATTGGGATGCCTCCAGCTTTGGTTTTCTTTTTCAATATTGCTTTGGCTATTTGGGGTCTTTTCTGGTTTTATACAAATTTTAGAATTGTTTGTTCTAGCTCTGTGAAAAATGATGGTGTTATTTAGATAGAGATTACACTGAACATGTAGAATGCCTTGGGCAGTATAGACATTTTCATAATATGTGTTTTTCCAATCCATGAGCATGGGATGTTTTTCCATTTCTTTGTGTCTTCTTCAGTTTCATAAGCATCTTACAGTTTTCAGCATAGAAATATTTTAGCTCTTTGATTAGGTTTATTCCTAGGTATCTTATGGTTTTTGATCCAATTGTAAATGGGATCAATTCCTTGATTTCTCTTCTGTTGCTTCATTATTGGTATATAGAAATGCCACAGATTTCTGTACATTGATTTTATATCCTAAAACTTTGCTGAATTTATGTATCAGTTCTAGCAGTTTTTTGGTAGAGTCTTTTAGGTTTTCCATATAGAGTATCATGTCATCTTCAAAGAGTGAAAGTTTGACTTCTTCCTTGCCAATTTGGATGCCAGAAGCTTCCATTTTAAACCATAGTCCACGTGAGATGTTTGAAAACCAAAGTGACGAAATAGAGCAGAGGGTGGGAGCTACACCATCGTCCAAAGATAGTGATCAGTAGAGGGGATTCAGAGGTCTGCTACCCAAGTAACTAAGCACTCAGCATTTCAAATCCTATTGGGAGGCTACTTTAGCAACCTTACTAGCACTGGTCTTAATCTCATCCCTGTTTATTACTTGGTGTGTCTGACTAGAAATGCCATTGCTTTTTTTGGACCTGGGATTCCTCACGTATAGATCAAAAGAGTGAACTAAGTGATATGCAAAATTTCTTCCAGCTCCACGACTTCTTTATAATAAAGTTTGTCTTCATCTGTTCATTCCAGGGCACAAGTGTACTAATATCACTGACTTCTGTGCTACGTGATGACAAAGAATTTCCCAACCCAGAGACATTTGACCCTGCCCATTTCCTGGATGATAGTGGCAACTTTAAGAAGAGTGACTACTTCATGGTTTTCTCAGCAGGTAATAAAAATTAATTTCCATAGGTACTGAAGGGGGCAAGATATTTTTGGGTGATCCGTAGAAACTTACATGGTGCCTAGTCTGGGACGAATAGAATTGTTCTTTGTCCATGACCGGAAGCATAACTCCCAATGCCCGTGCACTTTCCCCCACTCACTATACAGTCCCATTATTAGAATTTTGGCTTGGTGACCCAGTTCTTCCAAAGTGAATATAGGTTCATTGAATTCTGCCTCTAGATAGATCACACAGCTACCAAGAGCTCCTCTTAGCAGGTGAAACTCATTTAGACTTTACTCACTGCCATGAAAAAGGAATATAACTCCTCAACTTTGAGTTAAGTATTTTCTATGTGATATCCCCCACTCCCCAGAGTGGGCTCCAGGGTTACAAGTATCCACAAGCACAGAATGGGCACCAAAAGGGCTCACATCCTAATTAGGGAAACAGATTAGAAAATAGGTCGTTGTAATCCAGTGAGACTGGTGTTGTGGAAGAGGAAAGCACAGGCTGCTCAGGAGACCAGAGGAGGAAGCCGCCTGCTTCCTGATCACTTTATGAGGCATAAAGTGGAATAAGCAACGTTCTGATAGCAGAAAGGCAATTTGTGCTGCCTCTCAGGGGACAGGCAGCAAGGGAAAGAAGAGAAGGAAGGGCACTTTTAGAGAGTGGACTTTAGGAGCAGGGCATTTCAATAGATCAGGGCAGTCGGAACGTGCCAACTAGCTGTGGCATTAAGGAAACCTTGAACAAGTGGCAGAATACCCTGCAGTGGTTCCAAAGCACCTGATATTCCTCTGCTCAAGATCAGAGATTTCGGATCTTGGGTGTCTACATCTACAGTGTGTGTTCTGAATCTCTGGCCACAGAGTCACCTTTATTTATCTGACAGCTTTTGATGCCTACTTTGGGTCTTACGCCATACATACCAAGATGTCAAAGACTGAGCTTTCCCTACAAGGAAACACACATTTTAGCATGGCAGAAAAAGAAATAAACAGAGAATCGAGATTCAAGGTGATGATCCATGCTTTAACTGAAGAATGAATAAGATTCTGAGGAAACCCAGAGAGGGCAAGACTGTACTTCCCAAGGGGATCACAAAGATTATAAAGAGGAAATGACATGAGACATAGGTCCTGGAAGAAGTATAAGAGAAGTGCGCCTTAACCAAAGGGAACAGCAGGAGATACAGCTCGAAACTTCACAGTATATTGGAGATCGATGAAGAGTTGGTATGGCTAGAACCAAGAGTAGAGATATGAAGGATGGAAGGAGGGTTATGGCTCATCAGACTGGGAACAGAATGTGGAGGGCCAGTTCAACCCATTTGACATCATCTCATAGGACAGATCAGGGAGGCATTTAATAATTTAAAGTGAGGGGCACCTGGGTGGCTCAGTCGGTTAAGCGTCTGACTTCGGCTCAGGTCGTGATCTCACGGTTCATGGGTTCGAGCCCCTCATCGGGCTCTGTGCTGACAGCTCAGAACCTGGAGCTTGTTTCAGATTCTGTGTCTCCCTCTCTCTCTGCCCCTCCCCTACTCGCGCTCTATCTCTGTCTCAAAAATAAATAAACATTTTAAAAAATTAATATTTTAAAGTGAGAAAGTGACACATTTTTTTATTTTTATTTTTTAAAAATGTTTATCTTGAGAGAGAGAGCACACATGTGTGTGAATTAGGAAGGGGCAGAGAGAGAGAATCTCAAGCAGTCTCCATGCTGTCAGGTCGGATCCTATGCAGAGCTCGATCCCACAAACTCTGAGATTGTGACCTGAGCTGAAATCAAGAGTCGTTCGCTTAACCAACTGAGCTTCCCCAGGCGTTCCAAGAGAGGACGCATTTAGACATGTGCCTCTGAAATCACATGAAGGAGAAAAAACTTTGTCTAAATTTTGTGCCAGAGGTAGAAAGGGAGACACAGGTTTATGAGTTCCCTTCTCTCAGTCCTCCTCCCTCCAATGCACTTGGACAAGTGGGTGTGTTTCTACAAAGATTTATGGAAACTGGAAATGTGAAAAGTGCAGTTATAATATGGGAATACATAATGAAGTGTTTGATGTAGACCTAATGCTCAATAGATATTTGTTGAATGAAGGGTTCCCATTAAGACACTACGTGAATAGCAGGTGTTCCCATCCTTCTATCCATATGTCCCTCGACCCTTCCTGCCAGCTCTCCATCGGTTCAGCCATTCAGCAAATACTCCTTGTGACATACTTCTTGTGACAGTTCAAAACATAATATTTAAGGAACAAATCCCTTGTGTTTGTTATTTTCAGGAAAACGGATTTGTGTGGGAGAAAGCCTGGCCCGTATGGAGCTGTTTTTATTCCTGACCTCCATTTTACAAAATTTTACCCTGAAACCTGTGGTCGACATAAAGGACCTTGACACCACCCCAGTTGCCAGTGGGTTTGGACATATCCCACCCCCCTACAAGATTTGCTTTGTTCCTTTGTGAGGAAGGGCAGGCCATCTAGCCACTACTGTGCTGTTGTCTATAACTCCTCCTCCTCTTGGGTGTCACCCGCCTTCTTCTCACGACTGGGGATGCTTTCTCTGACCTCTTGCCTCATATTTCCCCATTGCCTCCACACCCACTGAACATTCAACCTCAATTAAAGGAGAGTTTCCAGAATTTCATTTCACAAATGCCGTGCCGTGCTGTTCTTTATACTCAATAACTCTTATATTTGCCACCACGTATGCTAATAATTATCAAATATTGGGCTATTACTATGTTATCACTGTGAAACAAAGCAAAATGGCTAACACATAGCCATCTATCCTCTCCATGTTCTAAATAGAAAGCACTATTATTTGCTGACCCAGTTCTTAGACTTTTCCTTGCATGATACAGGTAACAATTGGAAAAAAATAAAGTTCAAAGAGACCACACTGGTCCTCATACTGATAAGTACAAAGAGGAGCAAAGGGGGAGAGTGCAGAAAAGCTCTTTGGGCTACATGTCACCTAGGGTTACTTGAGGCTTGGATTTGAAAGTGAGCAGAGTTGTGTCCAGGAGCCGGGTAATGGAAGATCAGCAATAGGGAGGAAGGAATAATTACCATTAAAATTCATTCCTCTGCTTTGGTGCCACTATGAACACCAAAGATTTGACATGCTCTTACTACTTTGTGTTTCAAACTTAGAGTCAACTATTAACATATGCTTTCATATTGCTAGTCAATTTTTCTTTTCTTTTTTTTAAATTTTTTAACATTTATTCACTTTTTGAGAGACAGAGAGAGACAGTATGATGAGGGAAGGGGCAGAGAGAGAGAGGGAGTCACAGGCTCCAGGCTCTGAGCTGTCAGCACAGAGCCTGATGTGGGGCTCGAACTCACCAACTGTAGGATCATGACCTGAGCTGAAGTCAGACACTTAACTGACTGAGCCACCCAGGTGCCCCTAATCACTTTTTCTATGTGTCATTTTTTTTCTCACCAACCTCGAACAAAATCCCTGGAAGGCGTCTCTAGATAATCTTTTTCTGCTCTCCACCACATTGTTTTATACCTAACATAAGGGTGATGGCAGTGTGATGCCATGATCCTAAAATCTTTATCTGAACACTTTATTGGGCCTCCTCTGTGGCTCAGTCAGTTGAGTATCTGACTCAGTCTCAGCTCAGGTCATGATCTCATGGTTTGTGGGATTGAGTCTCGCATCGGGCTCTGCACTGACAGTGCAGAGCCTGCTTGGGATTCTCTCTCTCACTCTCTCTATGCCCCTCCCCCACTCACGTGGGCCCTCTCTCTCTCTAAATAAACACTTAAAAGAAAAAAAATAAAGGCTTTATCTAAAACATAGACAATGGAACATCATATACAAGTCCAATAATTTTCATCTTTTCTTATGGCTTTAAATGTAGGAAATGAAATCTATTTAACCTTTTGCCTGCTCATCTCCTAGAGGAAACCTTTTATATTTCGGCATGCATTTTTTTTAATTTATTTTTTTATTTTTATTTATTTATTTTTTATTATATGAAATTTATTGT